ACCCATGTTCTTTTCTCTTTAGCTCAAGATTCAATTAAAGAAGTTTGCTGGTTTTTTCCCAGGGAAATTAAATGTCCCTGCTGTGCACATGATGTCCCCTTTATAGAAATGTTAAAAATATAAAATCAGTCCGTTAATTTAATCCTTGCAAGATCAATTTATTTAAGATTTGTGATTAACGAAGATTATATTGTTTGCATTTCTAAGTTTATTTCCAATTAGCTCAGTTAGTTCTTTGCAAATTATAGTTTTTCTTTTGATGCTGTTGTCTGTATTTTAAAAAAGCTTATTTTATTGTCAAAGGTGAAAAACACCAATCATGTAAGCATTGGGTAAATGTATTTCAACTATTGTGATTGACACTGTCCAGCATTGTGCCTGGATTTCATACACATTTTCTCATGTAAAGAGCATGATCTTGGAAGGAAGGACTGGCTATGCCTTCTTTAGCCACTAGTCATTTTCTTTCAGCTTCTGGGAGCCTTTTAGTATATGTCTTCATCTGTTGAAAGGGAATCAATAAGATATAAACTATGGGCCTCATAGTACCATTGGGAGGATTAAATGAGATAACATAGATGAAAATGCTTTGAAAACCAGTCAAATATCACTAGTTAATAAAGTAGTTTTACTATCATTTATGAGTAATTTTACACTGAAAACAATGTTAGTTTTTTCACTCCACTTCCCCTTCCTCCCACACATACACATACACACACACACACACACACACACACACACACATCCTTATGTGCACTGTTTTTCTGGAGAACTCTGAATAATATACTGCTATTCCTTAGTTCATAGTTATTACTCTCATTATTGCAGAAATCATAATGTGTTAGCATCCCTCAGTCATTGCACAGCTGCACGCAAATTCTAGCCAGCACCCCAAATGGGTGTGTTGTTTTTTTATATTAAAATAGAAGAATTTGTTCTAAAACTGTGACTCTGACTTTATTAAATGACAAAACGAAAATGAAGTCATCGGAACATTACAATATCTAAGATCATCCAAACTGATTAGTGTCCTGAAAAAAAAGTCACATAAACTTACATGGATTGCTTTCAGAAAAAAAAACCTGGAGACTTTATCCATTGTGATTGTTAAAGAAATAGTTCTGGCTTCCCTGAATAAAGTTTGTGGCTTAAAAGGCAGGTTCTTATCACTTATTTAGAGGATTCAAAGGGTAGGTCACACTTAGGCAAGCACAGCCTGCTTCCCACCCTCAGCTAAAGTTTCAGGAAGGGGAGGTCATGCCTAGGCAGCACACTGGAATTCTTTTGAAGATGAGGCACACATGGAGGGACTCAGGAGAAAGAAACAGGAGGGCAAGGCGGCTGCCAATTCATTCTCTCAAGATCTCATGGCTTAGACAAGATTCCAGCCTAGTCAGGGTAATAACTTGGGACTAATGATACAAATACTGTTGGTGTTTATTGTCCAAGGGAGAAAATTGAAAGCAGTTTTGGGAGGTCTCTTTTAAGGAGCTTAAAGCGAAGTATTATTTCAAAAAAGTTTTTGTGGTCTTTACTCTTCTCAGAGAAGTAAAACATTATGTTCTACATGTTGTTGACTTGTGTTTCCAGAAGGGAAGATCATGAATTTATTCCTGAAACACATGAGTTGTTCACATTTCCTGTATATTATAAACAAGAGTTTGCCTACAGTAATGTGACTTAGGCTCTGTGTGCAGAGATTAAAAACACCAGCCAGTTTGGCTCACTGGATAGAGCATTGGCCTTTGGACTGAAGGGTCCTGGGTTTGTTTTCATTCAAGGGCACGTACCTTGGTTGCAGGCTCCATCCCTGGCGCCACCCGGTCAGGGCGCGTGCGGGAGGCAACCAATTGATATGTCTCTCACACATCGTTGTTTCTCTCTCTCTTCCCCTCCTTTCCACTCTCTAAAAATCAATGGAAAAATATCCTAGGGCCCTAACTGGTTTGGCTCAGTGGATAGAGCACCGGCCTGTGGACTGAAAAAGCTCTTATCATTTTGTTTTATGCATTTTTCCCAATGAGTCTATTATTAGTATTCATCCATGCAGGGTCTAACCTCCTTTCCTAAAATAGAACATATTCCCCTTTTTTGTGCAGCTGGATTGATTGTGGCTCCTACCCAAGTTCCTAAACAAACAAACAAACAACAACAAAAAAAAAACCAACCAACATCACCTAATAGCTGCAGCAAAGAGGTCTTTAGAAAATTAACAAGTCATGATTTTATTTATATTCTTATTGTGAAGGGTCACTAACTACTCTAGGAACTTCTGTTTTCTAGCACCAGTGGTAGCTATAAATAATTTAAAATATGCTTAAGAATAGTGTCACAATCAAATCTTATATATGTTGATATAAAGTCTTAAATTTTAACTGTGATAACAGGAGCATAAATAAAAACTGAAATGTATTTATAATTACCAGTTAATTTACAGTTAACTGGTACATAGCAAGGATCCAGGCTCTGTTAGTGCTTTATAAAACTCACCCCCGGCCCCTTTAATAAATCAAGTACAGTTGTATAACAAATGATTTCCCTTCCTAACAGAAGTCTAAAAATAATGCTGTTTCCAATAATAATTTTTTTTTAAAACAGTGGCTCCTGCTACGTCCCCACACCCAGAACTCAAAAATTCTTCCTCTGCAGAGGTATATCTTAAATGAGCCTTCAGTTGTGATGTCCACTTTTGGAATTGCCATTATCTCCATGGTTCTATGTACTATGCATTTTCCTTTCTAAATATCCACATTCAAAATGATATTAGCTGTATCAGATCACTAGAATAATAATGTTTGGTAAAACACACACACACACACACACACACTGCATTAATTTTCAAAACACTAGGGAATTCACTACAAAAAAAAGTTCTCTATTACCTGCTTGTCTTAAAAATAAGGTTCTGTTTAACAGATCTCTTGGTGCCCTTTTAAAGGAATGGCAAATTAGAATAATATGCTTCAATTAATACATTCATTCCCAACACCATTCCTGTTGTACAAAAGACATGTAATTTGTGAAGTATCCAGAATTACCTAAGTAATTGATGAGTATCATAACTTAGGTAAATGATGATAGATATGGTCTTGAGACATATATATGACATAATACAGATTACTGAAAGTAAAGCAGCAGGTATTTTCAAACACTTTAATGAAGAACCTGAGAGGGGAGAATATTGAGAGAGAAAAAATAGATCCCAGTTGACTAAGGCTCCAGTCTGAAAGCAACTTTATACTCAGTATAACTGAGTAAGTGTCTGGGAATCTACAGTCTGGACTGGGGAACATTTGAATGAGCTAAGCTTCTATGTTTCATTTTAAAGTTGAGCAGGAAGAGAGTGGTGTGGGAAGGCAGAGATGATGAGGCTTCCCACTCACCAAAATTGCATGCCTGACCACTGAGGGCTGAGAGCTGCTGTGAATAGGCCCAGTCTTCGTCATTAGGAGCAGAGATCACCAGCAACCGCCTCCTCCATCGGAATCTGGAAAAGAAGTAGAGGCCACAATGACTGCTTCGAACAATAGAGGCTATAGTGTAAGGAAGCAGGGCCACTTTGGCTGTTGGTATTTTCCTATGCCCAGAATAAAAAGCACTGACTCTCAGAAACATCTCATAGCTCCTCAAAGCCGTTCAACTGTATTTCCACATTTCCTGCACTTTTTCTGTTGTAACTTCACAGTCTGCCTACTGTGGCATTTGCATGGTATGTCAGGCATGAGTTTGGCTACTATGCCGCATGAGGTCACTCAGGAAGAGACACAGCTCTCAGATGCAATGAGGACTGACCAAAATTGTATGTCCTATTGTAGCAACAGATATAAGGAATCTGATCTCACTTCTATGTGGAAACTAATGAACAAAATAAGCTGACAAATAAAATAGGACCAGTGGCATGGAAACATGGAACAGACTGACGAATCTCAGAGGAAAGCAGGGAAGGGGAGCGGGAAGAGATTAATCAAAGACCTTACATTGCATATATACATTACCCATGGACACAGAGAACAGGGTGATGAAGGATTGGGGTGGGGCAGGAATTGGGTGGAGAGGGGCAATGGGGATAAATTGGGACATCTGTAATACTCTCAGTAATAACTATTTTTTAGAAAGGAATCAGAAGGGGGCTGAGGAAAATTCAAGTTCAAGTAGAGTTCCCTAGGGCTTGGAGGGGGTTAAGAAATAATTATATGAACGGGAAATAGAATAGGAAAAGAGAACTGAATTTTAAGTAGGTGACAGGAAGAAGGAAAATAGGAAAGTGGCTCAAAGGGTCAAGGAGGATTCTGGCAAAACAAAGCTTTATTTACCTTCCTCAATATCTAATGATTTCTCCAGAAGCAAGCACAAGTTCTAAAATGTACCCTATCCCATTAGTAAGAACAAACACTTACAAAGTACCCCTATGAACTAGAATGGAATTTAACCTATAGTCATAGGATTTTAGAATATACTAGAGGCATGAAAATTAGTGCATTCGGGGGGTCCCTCAGCCTGGCCTGCAACCTCTTGCAGTCCAGGGCCCCTCAGGGGATGTCTGACTGACGGACAGACATCCCTCTGGCAGCCTGGGAGCCTTCGGGGGATGTCCAACTAACAGCTTAGGCCCGCTTCCCTCAGGGAGCGTGCCTAAGCTGTTACTCAGACATCCTTAGTGCTGCAGCTGAGGCGGGAGAGGCTCCAGCCACCGCGGATGCACTGGCCAGCCACGATCCGGCTTCGACTTAGCAGTGCTCCCCCTGTGGAAGCACACTGACCATGAATGGGCAGCAACTGTGTTGAGTTTCTGCCCCCTGGTGGTCAGTGTGTGTTATAGCGACTGGTCATTCCTGGTCATTCTGCTGTTAGGGTCAATTTGCATATTACCTTTTTATTATATAGGACTAAAGGCACGGTGCATGAAAATTAGCGCACTCGGGGGGCGTCTCTCAGCCCAGTCTGCATGCTCTCACAATCTGGGACCCCTCAGGTAGGGTCCAGTCCCATCGCAGCATGGCTCCAGTTCCCCGGAGCCTGCGGGAAGCGGGAGGGACCAAGATTCCCAGATCACAGCATGGCTCTGGCTCCCTAAAGCCTGCAGGTGGCGGAAGGGACCAAGAGGTCAATCCGATCGCAGCATGACTCCGGTTCCCAGAGCCTGAGGACCGGGGTAGGCACCAAGAGACAGTCTGATGGCAGCATGGCTCCGGTTCCCCAGAGGCTGTGGGTTGGGGGAGTGACCCAGAGACCAGTCTGATGGCAGCATGGCTACGTTCCCACAGCTCCCTCACACCGCCACACTGTGGGTGGCCAGGGCCCACAGCTCCCTCCTGCTTCCACGCCACATGCATCCGGGACGCAGGACTGACTCCCGCTGTGCCAGCCGGGACCCTAGTCTGGTGTTCAGTCGTCCGTCCAGATGTTTAGGTTGTGACAGATCCTGGCTCTTTATATATTAGGATAGTAAACTTGTTTTTGCTCTTATAGCTCCAACACAGTAGATAGTGGGAAAAGCCAGGAAACCTTTGTCACTGCTACTTTTGGGGTTCCTGAAGCACGTCTCTCAATTCATCTTAGCCTCAGTTTTTCCTTATCTCTAGAATCAAAAATAGCATCTACTTCAAAGAGGTGTTATAAGAATTAAACCAGAGCTCAGGAATGTAAGTTACCCACGTGATGACATGGATATAGATGGTGTCTTCACCTGCAGTTCCTATATGTCAAACTGTGTCCATTAACAGGCCTTGGACATTGTCTATCACACTGCCATACGATAACTGATCTAACCTTTGTGTTTGTATCATTTTACAGCTCACTTGCATCTACACCATCTGTGTTCCTCGTTAGTCAGTGAGCACACAACGTATTGTCTCCATTTTACAGATGACACAATGAAGCTTAGAAAAGTGAAGTAACTTGCTTAGCTAGTAAATCTAAAAGGTGGCAGAAAAATACAGATTTATCTGGCTCCCAGGCCTTGGTATCCCTCACCTACCACCCTCAGTGATCCTGATGCTTGGCTGGTGCTGCCAGGGTCCCTGAGAGGGGAGGAGGGAGAGAGCGTGAGCAGAGCGTATGCAGCCAAGCGGCAACAGTCCGGAGTTGTCTCAAATTCCGCCTTCACCGGAGAAGGGGTTTTGCTTTCTGCCTCCAGTGTAGGCAACTGTGGGCTGTGAGTGTACTCACGGAGCTGGAAGCCAGCTTATTTTATTCATTGCTTCTCTCCCTGTGCCCCTTCCAGCCTCAGAGTGAACATGAGAGTTTTCAACCCAAAGAAAATGGCCTCTTGGGGGAATAGTGGTTTGGGTGAATGAGAGAAAATGATAGTCTGATGAAATACAACCTCTGAATAGATGCCTGGAGCAAGGCTCGCCAAGAATTGCTTGCTGTGACATTACATTCGCTTCCTCTGCTTGTTTTTCTTCAAAGGGAAAGAAAAACTAAAATCTCCGCTGAGGATAGGGAGATGAATGTGTTTGGCCTGGAAGAGCAGAGAGGAGCATCTGAGACGGTCCAAGGTTTCCTGGGAAAAGGACCAGTGACTGCTGTCGGATCACAAACATGGTCTCCTGCACACTCCCTGCTTCCTTAGGAGACATGCCAGATCAGTGCTGCCCCCTCCGACCCCCCCTCAGCCAGCATCCAAACCAGGTCAGCCACCCTGGCCTCACACAGAGCCTAAGGTGTCCTGCAGGGAGCTATTTTGGGTGAGGTATATTTTGACTTGTTTACCTGTGGGCCCTGCTGTTGGCTGTCCTGATTGCAGAGGGACAGGGTCTGAGACTCTGTGTCCCAGACACACCAAGAGAAAGTCATTTCCCCTAAGGAATGATTTTTCTTCTCCCACAGCCCTTCACAGGAAGATAAAAGCCCCCAACTCTTGATACTGAAGGAAATAGCGCCCATAGGATGTAACAAGAGATGTGTGTGCGTGATCCAGATCCTTATTCTGGACAACTTGTTTTTTTCTGTCACTTTAGCTTCTCAGTAAATAAAAATTATATGAGCTATGGATGTGTTTGCTTCTCTTAACCAAAATTAGTGTGCATTTGCCCACTCTTTGGGGCTTCTGTGTCAGAGAAAAGTAATTATAGACTGAACCAAATTAGTGTCACTAAAGGTTAGACTGGCTTAGAGTCTGGTCAGCTGAAACCAGGCTTTATAGACCCACCAACAACTCAGCAAATCTGAAGGAAAATTCCCATTTGGATACTGTTTTATTTATATAACTTTTAATTTAAATTTTTTTTTCAGTTCTCTTTGCCTGGGTTTTAATACTGAGGTATTTGCTAAATCTCCTTTTCTCACCTCTCCTCACCTCTTTCTTGATGACAAAATTCTCTTACTAGGAGCTAACTAACTGGTCCTAATACTACTAATAGCTTGCATTTATTGATTGTTCACTTTGTTCTAGATTCTGGGCCATCATTACCTTTCGCATTGATTTTACCTTTTATAACAACCTTAAGAATAGATACACTTATTACCCTCATTTTTAAATTAGAAAACTAAAACACAAGAGGTTAAACAATCAGCCCAAGATCACCCAACTAATAAGTGGAGAAACCAGAAATTAAACTCCGGGCTGTCTTTCTCATGCCTTTAAGTAATATACTTTTAGGACCAATGGTAATGATCAGCACAGTGATTTCTAAGTTGTGACCACGGTCATGTACACCCATAGAATATTCAAATTATGATCATATACCATTCTGAATATCCATAAGAAATGTACATTCCTGAAATAATAATAAATATAAGAGCCCACAGGGGCTCTTACTTTATAAAGAAAATATAATTACATACTGTAGGGCCCCATCCAGCTCAAAACACTTTAGATACAAAATGTATGTATAAGTCTTAAGAATCAAAGACAAAACTAATTCAAATAGGTGAGCAATGTGGATGAGCACTGCAAGATTGTGAGTGAAAAAAATTGAGATAATGTCAGATTTCCTTTTCAGGTTTAAAAGCCATGACATAGTGCTTATAAAAAACATTCTGCCTGGGGATGGTAAGAAGAAGACCTCATGATATCTGTGGCTGAGAGTGTCATGGCTGGCCCAAATTCTTGGTTATAAATAATATCAGTGATAACTGTCTGTTTTAGAGGTTGGGCAATCTGAGTTTACTAGGATGGTTCAGAAAGTATGCATCTTTTAGTCCTGTATTAGAATTAAAAAGAGAATGTTTTCAAAGAATCAAAGTCATAGTAATAATGTATATTTCTAAGAAGATCCTGGTTTTCTTTATATAATTTATGTTCTTGTGAAACTTAAGATAATTTGACTTAATAAAATGACATCCTTAAAATTCAAAAGTAGAATGTGTAATTGAGTAATAGTTGTAAATGTATGGTTTTAAGTGGAAATCTCACTAAGTGTACACAGTTATTGGAACATATGAGAGGACTTTGGATTCACTGTGTTTACAAGATTAACTTATTAAACTTATGGGTCATTTAAGTTCTCAGAAATTCTTTGTTTATTTTAAGCAATTAATATATATATATATATATTAAATGTGAAATATCTGAAATAATGAAGCTGTTTAATAACTGAGTTTTTAAGCTAAGTCAAACATTATCAAAGACCTTTAAAACTGTAGGTAAAATTTCCCAAGTTATAAATAGAACTAAATGCCCAATGCACGAAATTTGTACATGGGTAGAGTCCTAAGCCTGGCCAGCAATCAGGGCCAATCGGGACCTTCTGGCTGCCAGCTGGGACCTTCCATCATTCCAAGCTGCCTCCTGATAGTCAGCGCACGTCATAGAGAGTGAATGAACTCCCAGTCTCCTGGTTGAACTCCCAAGGGGACAATTTGCATATTAGGCTTTTATATATATAGACTAGAGGCCCAGTGCACAAAAATTTGTGCACTCGGTCGGCCCCCCGCCACCGCAGCAGCGGCCACCTCTGCCTCAGCACTCGCAGCCCTGGCTTCGTCTG